TCCGGAGGCAGGAAGGGCTGGGCCGAGGCTGCGCTTCTAAGGATGCGCCCTGGGCCCTGCCGGCGAGCCCCCAGAAGGGCAGCGGAAGAGGGTGGGGAACCAGATCGCGAAGTGGAAGGTGCCCCCAGAAAAGCACGTGTGGGGGAGGAGGGCTCTTTGGAGAGATTATATCACCCCTTGCGCTCCCCTTCCCCCACCCGCCGTGGGAGTGCCAGGGTGGAGGAGGGGAGGCACCCCTGGGGAGGGTGGGGGGAGGGAGGGGAGGCACCCCTGGGGAGGGTGGGGGGAGGGAGGGGAGGCACCCCTGGGGAGGGTGGGGGGAGGGAGGGTGCCGGCTAGAGTGATTCATTTCAGACATCTGTGGCTCAGGAGGTGGGCTGAGTGGGGATCCTCGGGCAAGGAAGGCCTGGTGAAAGGGAAGACCAAGCCAAGTACACTTGGAGGCTGGAGTCTCTGGGCATCCATTTTAAGCACTTCCAGGTGCCAGGCACTGAGCTGGGAGCAGGGAGCGCCGAGGGGAGAAGACAAAGAAATTTACATGGTGGTGCCTAGAGCTCCCAGCCTAGTTGGCCTGCTGTGTTGGGAAAGTGTTTGCCTGGGGCTGATCCACCCTTCCAACCTTCTTTATCCGTGTGCAGTGACCGCCAGTCCCCAAGGGCCTCTCAGGACCTCGGATTGGGTCGTCCTGAACTGCTCCTTCAGCCGCCCTGACTTCCCGGCCTCTGTGCAGTGGTTCCGGGGCCCAGGCAGAGTCCCTGTTCAGAAGTCTCCCCATCACCACTTAGATGGGAGCTTCCTCTTCCTGCCCAAAGTCAGCCCCGTAGACTCTGGGCTCTGGGGCTGCATCCTCACCTACAGAGATGGCTTCAGTGTCTCCAGCGCCTACAACCTCACTGTTCTGGGTAACGCCTCCCGTCTGCCTTCACCCATGACCACAATGCCTTGCTGCCCTCTTCCCATCTCCTCCTGACTTTCGGGTCCCCACAGTAGGTCCTCAGCAGCTTACACCACCTGTGATTATTCTGGGCCTCACCGTCCGGTTTCTTCCTTTCTCCTGTTGCAGCCTTTCAGCTGCCTTCTCCCATTGCAGACTTTCCTTGGGCCACCCAGCCACAATGGCCAGCCTTTGGTTTCCTGCCGGCCCACTCCCATCCCGGGTTTCTGAGCCTCTTTGGTTCTTCCACCTTATTCTACTCCTTAGCACTCTTCAGAGCCGGACCACCTCCTTCGCTCCTGCACTTTTCTGCCTCTCTTCCGTTCAGATCCAGTGTCCCAGCCCCTCTGCCACCTCCCCCTCTCTGCCTTAACGTTGGGTTTCCTTTTCTCTCCAGATCCGGAGCCTCCAGTCCCTCAGACAGTGTATGCAGGAGCAGGTTCCCGGGTGGAGCTGCCCTGCCCCCTGCCTCCTGGTGTAGGCACTGGGTCTTTTCTCACTGCCAAGTGGGCCCCTCCTGGGGGAGGCCCTGACCTGCTGGTGACTGGAGACAATGGCAACTTTACCCTTCAACTGGAGGCTGTGAGCCAGGCCCAGGCTGGGACCTACACCTGCCGCATCCATCTGCAGGGGCAGCAGCTCATTACCACCGTCACTTTGGCAGTCATCACAGGTCAGGCCTGTGTGGGAAAGGAGTAGCTCCCAACCCAGAGGAGCTGGACAGGGAGGGATGCCTGGCTGGGCAAATACTGGCAAAGCCACCTCATGATGCCAGGCCATGGGCACCATTTCCAGAGGCTGCCCCTCGAGGCCTCTTCTTTTCTCGCCCCCACATATAAAAACTGAAACTAAAAATCTCCCCTGAGTCACTAGATGCATGTTCCACTCTTCTCTAAGGGGATCCCCTGCTCTGAATTTTGGGGGGAGGGTCTGAGAAGTTAGAAGGAGAAGTGGTAAAAGTTTGAATGGTTCCAAAGGGGTGGACTATATTTTTAGAATCCTTGTCTCACTTTGGGGCCAGGGCTTGGGTTAAAGTTGCAGGAAGTGGCCTGGATTTGGGAGGAGTTAATACATCAGTTCCTTGGTCAGCAAATATTTACTGATCATGGGCTTTTCAAGACAGTGTAAAACAAACACATTTTTAAAAAAACACCTCAAAATGTGTTGATTGGTTGGTTATTCAATCAATTACCAGTGGTGGTTACTTGACTGTGTCTGCAGTACTAACCTGTGGAAACTAAATAATAGCACCCCATAGTAGGTGCTTAATGAATATAGTTGAATGAATAAGTGATTATGCTAGCAAATAATACATCCCCTGTCTGCCAGTGCTGAATTTCCATATACTTCCTGGAAATTTCTACCTAGATCTCAGCCTCACTCTGAACCCCATCTTTTCATGCTAAGTCTTGCTGACTTAGCCTGTCAATAACGCCATTTGCATCCCACTCACCCTGAAACCTGGCTTTCTCCTTACCTCATGTCCAGTCAGTTGCCAAAGCCTACAATTCTTTCTGTCTAGGTTTTCTTGAGGGCCCGTTGTTTTGTGTTAGTTTCCCATGCTATCTCATGACAATTCAACGCGAGATGCTTTATAGAGGAGGAACATTCCCAACGTCACACCCCGGGGAAGTGTCAGACTCAGGGTCTGTACTCAGCTGTCTGTGTCACCAAATCTTCAGGTTCCTGTGCACCATTTGTCTCCTCCTACTCACCCTGTCTCTCACCGTTCAGCTTTGAGATGCTCTGTCTCTAGGTCAGTTGGTCAGTTCACCCTTCTCCAAACATCCAGGAAGTGGGCAAGTTCATTCAGGGGGCACCTCAAGGCAGGGGCACTGATGTGTGATTCAAATTATGAAAGCAGGAACAGTGCAAAGTATATTGGGGGCCAACTCACCTAACAGATATTGAGGGTTTGAGCATTTGAGTGGTAGTAATGTAAAAGAGTCTGAAATAATATTCGTTATGGGATCCTTCTGGCCCAGTTTGAGTTTGAACAGTCCCCTGAAGGCAACAGGGAGCCTGGGAAGTTTTTGAGCAGCGGAGTGATCTGACCAGAACTTTGTCTTCATAAGATTACTTTGGCCATGACCCTGGTCTCCTCCCCTCAGCCTCACCCAATCAGAGCCCAGGGGAGTGCAGTGTGCCTGAGACTTGGGAGTTGATCCTATGGTGTCAAGTAAGGGGGCCGGGGACTCAAAAGATCTCTTCCCTCTAATGTTTTCAGTGACTCCCAAATCCTCCGGGTTACCTGGCAACCGGAGAAAACTTCTTTGTGAGGTGACGCCGGCATCTGGACAGGAGCGCTTTGTGTGGCGCCCCCGGGACAAGTCTTCGAGGAGTTCCCCAGGACCCTTGCTGGAGGTGCAGGAGGCCAGCCTCCTGTCCCAGCCCTGGCAGTGCCATCTGTACCGAGGGGAGAGGCTTCTCGGAACAGCGGTCTACTTCACGGAGCTGCCTGGCTCAGGTCTGAGACCCCGCAACACGGGGTCCCCAACTCCAGACCAGTCATCTTGATCCCACTTGCAGACCTCCTCCCTACCCCTCCCAGCTCTTTCTTTTCCAATCAGGGCCCTGACTTCCAGCTCTTGTCTGGTCCTGACCCTCTCCTGCCAGGAATTAGTTGAATGATCCTGGATGAGTCCCTTAAACTCTTTGGGCCTCGTGGTCTGCGTCTGTGAAATGTGAGGGTGTAGCCAAACGTCCTTTCAGTCATGACTCTATGCCCAATCCTGTACTTCTCCTTAGGTGCCCAGCGCTCCGAGAGAGCCCCAGGAGCCCTGAAGACAGGCCACCTCCCTCTCCTTATCGCCCTCGGTGTCCTCCTCCTGCTCCTTTTGGCGGCTGGAGCCTTTGGCTTTCACCTTTGGAGAAGACCGGTGAGCCAGGGACTCCCCTCCCTTTGCCACTGGTTTCCCTTCTCCCCAGTCCTCCGTGCTGTCTGGCACCACCTCCTCAGCAAAGGTGACTAAGGTGGGGCCTGAAGTTGCCTTTACAACCCCTTCTTCATAGGCCTCTGCACTCCAGGGGCCCCTTGTGCCTGAAGAATGCAGGGGAGGCTTGAAGGGGCCGAGAAAAGGCCTGGGACCACATGGCGAGGGCAGGGGCGGAGAAAGAATCGATGGACCCAGCAGCCTCCTTACTCCCTTTCTCTTCGTCCTTTTCTTTCTCTCACCCTCCATGTCTTCCCACAGTGGCGGCCAAGAAGATTCTCTGCTTTAGAGCATGGGATCCACCCACCTCAGGCTCAGAGCAAGATAGGGGATCTGGAGCAAGAACCAGAGCCGGAGCTGGAGCCACAGCCACAGCCACAGCCACAGCCACAGCAGCCCTGACCTGGAGCTGGGCAGCCAGTGGATCTCCGCAGCTCAGTACAAATAAACTCCCATCAGCAGCAAGCCTGAGTCTGGCTCCTTCTTGTCCAGTGAGGAGTCTTGTCTCTCCCCAACCTCTGGGGGCTCCCTTCTCCCACTCCAGCCTTTCAACCTACTCTCCCCCCTGCCCCCCTCCCCGCCAGGCTATCTTATCTTCCCCTTTCTGTTCCTGGCTTCTCAGTGATTCTTTTCTCCTTAGTCTCTTTCTTACTATCTCTTATGGGGAGTAATTTTTCTAAAGCTCCAAAAAGCCCTCACCCCTTATCTCGACAGCCCTTTCCTGCCTTTGGCTATCGTGCTGGCTGCCCTGGTTTCCTTTATATTTTTATTCCTCTGGCCCACCCCACCCCATCCCACATTCAGCTCCACTTCAGCACTGTCCTTGTCCCTCTAGTTGTAGTGGGTGCGTGTACACACACACACACACACACACACACACACACACACACACACACGGAACAGCCCTGCCCTGTCCAATCCTCCTGGAGATCAAGTCTTGCAACCTTTCTGTGCGGGCTGCTGGGGTTCCTGTCTGCTTCTGCCCCACCCCCACGTTCCTCAGCTCCTGGGGCCGCATCTGTTCCTAGGCATGAGGACACACTGCCACCCAGTGGTCACTGTCTCACACCACTGGGGGTTACTGGGTAGGCTGGGCACGTGGGAGATTAGCAGTGCAGTGGACAGGCAGCTGGTGTCCCCACATGTAGGCACCGCCTTTGTGGGGTGCCCTTGCTATGGTCTGCATATGAGGGTGTACCCAGCAGCTGTCACATGCTCTATGCACCCACCAGGAGAAGGACTGAACAATACATGCCTCAGGATACATAGCCCTGGACCTGCGAGGTTAAGATCCAAGTCTGACAAAGGAGAGTGTTGTGAACAAAGGCCCCACGTGGGGACAAGAGCAGCCAGCGAGGCAGCTGGCCGCTGCTGCAGCTTTGGGAGTCAGGAGCCCTGGCTTCTGACCCCAGCTGTGCTGACGTGACCAGAGTTAATCTCCCTGCGCCTCGGTTTCCTCACCTATTAAATGGGATGGTCATAACCCACCAGAATAGGCTGTTGTGAGTATTGGATAGCAAAAGGGCTTAACTGTGCTGTGCTCCACGCATGTGATGTGCTTGTCTGATCATCCCTTTGTGAAGGAGGAAGCAGGCCTGCTCTGGTCATGCCAGGAATGATAGAGACGACCCACCCGCCTGCCTGCCCGCCCGCCCGCCCTGTCTGTCTGTCCCTCTCAGAGAGAACATTCATGCCAGCCGGTCGTGGTCTTAGAGCACACACACAGCCTCAGCCCACAGCACCCCCACAGCGACCTAGACCTCTGCCTGCAATGTGGGCCACGCTCTGGACTTTGGTCGCAGACAGCTCTGTCAGGGAACTTTACCCTGGGCAGGAGGGAAAAAATATTGAAAGAGAGTGGGAGCAAGTCTGCAGCAGCAGGACCCCCTTGTTTTAGTGGGGCAGGGGTTTCCTGGAAATTTTTGTGGGTGGCATTTTTCTTTTTGACTCGGTAACATCCTATGCCCTTTGGGCTTCTGAAAGCAGTCATCGAGGATTCACCAGTGTCTCTGCGGGGACTTCCCCTTGTTCCTGCACAAAGGGAGCAGGGAGGGGACAGCGGCAGAGCGACGGGCCACCTTGTTCACCCACTAAGGAAGTGAAGGGCAAAGAAAGGCCGGGAGGAAGAGAGGGCATGGGGCTTGTGCTTACCGTGATCCTTTTATTAATTTTCACCCCCTTCCCTATGAGATCTCTCTTAGGGGGTGACACACCCTGCCCCTTCCCCTCTCCCCTCAAAGCTCTAGCAAGATAACCTCCAGCCCATTTTGTGTTGTCCTCGTCCTTCCAGGGAGCTGGGTTAATTCATCCCGGGCCTTCAGGCTTCTCTGTGAACCGAACCAGTATTCCAGGCTGGGGACCTAGAGGGGAAGGGGCACCAAGGAGGCAGGCAGCTCAGCCTTAGCCAGGCAGCTCAGTTGGTTAGAGCATCGTCCTGATATGCCAAGGATGCAGGTTTGATCCTCGGTCAGGGCACATACAAGGAGCAACCAATGAATGCATAAATCAGTGGTTCTCAACCTTCTGGCCCTTTAAATACAGTTCCTCATGTTGTGACCCAACCATAAAATTATTTTCGTTGCTACTTCATAACTGTAACGTTGCTACTGTTATGAATCGTAATGTAAATATCTGATCTGCAGGATGGTCTTAGGCGACCCCTGTGAAAGGGTCATTTGACCGCCAAAGGGGTTGCGACCCACAAGTTGAGAACCACTGGCATAAATGAATAAATAAGTGGAACAACAAATCAATCTCTCTAGACTCTTTTCCCCTTCACCCCTCCTCTCTCTCTCAAATCAATAAATAAAATTTTAAAAAAAAAGGAGGCAGGAAGCTCAGTGGGGCCTGTGGAGGGTGGGAGAGGGATCATCTTAGGTCCTTGTTTTTTTGTGTGTGTTTTTTAAAAATATATTTTTATTTCAGAGAGGAAGAGAGAGATAGAAACATCAATGATGAGAGAAAATCATTGATTGGCTGCCTCCTGCACACCCCACACTGGGGTTCAAGCCCACAACCCAGGCATGTGCCCTTGACCGGAATCACACTCAGGACCCTACAGTCCGTAGGCCAACGCTCTGTCCACTGAGCGAAACTGGCTAGGGCTAAGGTCCTTGTTAAAAAGGAAGGGATGTAGCCCTGGCCGGGTTTGGCTCAGTGGTTAGAGTGTTGGCCCGCAGACCAAAGGGTCGGGGTTCGATTCCCAGTCAACAGCATGTACCTCGGTTTCAGGTTTGTACCTTGGTTCCCAGTTCAATCTCAGACCCTGGAATGCAGGAGGCAACCAGTTGATGTTTCTCTCGCCCATCCCCGCCCTCTCCATCCCTTCTACTCTGTCTGAAAATCAATGGAAAAAATATCCTTGGGTGAGAATTTAAAAAAGAAAAGGGGGGGGTGGGGATGTATTAAGTACCTATTGCCGCATAACAAATCACCCCAAAACTCAGTCATTTAAAACAGTAAACATTATCTCACATGATCAGGAAGGAACCCAGGAGCAGCCGACTAGTTCTGGGTGAGGGTCTCTTGTGAGGTTGCTGCCAAGATGTGGGTCAGAGCTGAGTCACCTGAAGGTGTGACTGAAGGATCTGCTTCTAAGAAGGACCCTCAGGTGACTGCTGGCCAGAGGGGTTAGTTCTGCCCCACATGGGCCGCCTCTTAGTGGTTTTCCCCAGAGGGAGGGAGTGGCCAAAACAAAAGCTACCATGTCTTTATAACCTAATCTGGAAAGTGTCATACCTTCCCTCCTGCCTTATTCTATTGGTCACACCGGCAATGCTAGTGCATTGTGGGAGGGGACAACACAGGGTGGGAACTGAAGGAGACAAGAATCACTGGGGGTCCATCTCGCATCACCTGGGCTATCATAGGGGGAACAGTGCCTGAAAGAGAGCTAGGCTATGAGAGGGGGAACGGTATCTCTGAGCACCTCCCCTCTCCCCACAGCCCTGCATGACCTGACAGCCTCCCCCATTGTCCACTGTCCAGAAATTCTGGAGGCCAAATGAGGCCCAGAGCCTTGCCAAGTCAAGTGTGTCAAGCAAGAGGCCATGCTGTGCTCATCCAGACCGATGGTCACATTTGCCAGATGTCCCCCTCCCCTGACCTTGGTCTTCTTTTTAAGAATTCTATATGGCCCTAGCCGGTTTGACTCAATGTATAGAGTGTTGGCCTGCGAACTGAGGTCCCAGGTTCGATTCCGGTCAGGAGCACATGCCCAGGTTGTGGGCTCAATCCCCAGTGAGGGGCCTGCAGGAGGCAGCCAATAGATCGGTGATTCTCTCTCATCATTGATGTTTCTATCTCTCTCTCCCTCTCCTTTCCTCTCTGAAATCAATAAAAATATATTCAATAAAAAAGGACATATTTAGGTTAAAAGATAGTATGATATAGAATTCTTTTTTAAAAATAAGAAAATGGGGGATTGAGCTCACAACCTGGGCATGTGCCCTGACCAGAATCAAACCATGACCTCCTGGTTCATAGTTCAATACTCAACCACTGAGTCGCCACGCCAGTTGGGGTTCC